CGCTGTGTCCAGTCGCGCGGAAAGCCGCGCAGCAATGGACCGAGGAAGATGAGAACCCGCCTAGGGCGACAATGGCGCACTTGCTTAGCGGCGCCTGCCTGGGGAATAGGGAGCAGGCCAGATGGTTCCTCAGAGTAGCGCGAGCGCAGACGGGGACGGCGATCAGCAAAGTAGCCCAGGCGGCACCCGACTCCAAGGATACGCTGAAGACGCTGAGGAAAGCGCATGTCGCTGCGCTGAAGGGCTCACGCTATAGGGTGCTGGATGAGGACGGGTACGATGCACTAGCCCCAGCCGTCGGGGGGGTGTTGCCGGCGCTGGTAGATGATCTCTCGGAGAAGAGCCGGAGGGACCTTGGCGCCGGGGTCACGAGGAACTTGCAAGTCGTGGCCGAGGCGGCGACGGGAGCGGTGCAGAGGTGGACCCAGCTCAATGATGAGGCTACGGCGCGCATAATGAAGAGAGAGGAACACATCGAGTGGCTGAGGAAGCTCTTCACTGGGTGGAAGGAGGCCCGGCCGGCCTTGAGGGAGTCGCGGAGGAGGAGGGATAACGGAGGTAACGTGCAGACAGGCCAGCAGCCAGTGGGACGAACGAGGACCGCGACGGCGGCTCAAGCGGGAGGGAGCGGAGACGGTGGGCAGCAAGCGAAGTGGGTGAGACTTATGATGCTCCTCTGACTTAGGGAGCGGTTCAGCTGCTGGGCGGGCTTCAGGCTGGTGCTCACGCGAAAAGGAATCGACGCGATGTACAAAGCATACAAGAAGAGGAGAAAGAAGAGGAGGGGCATCAGTGGTGACGAAACAGAAGCTAGCGCAGACGAGGGCAGGGCAGACCCGGGGACGGCGGAGTCGGAGCAGACGGCATCGGCCGCCGAGGAAACGTTGGGAAGAGGCACGAGGAGGGCGGCGACCTCGACCGACTATGGAGGACCCGTCACCAGACGACGCAGGGCAGACGACGGGGAGGCGGAGCAGACGCGCAGGGCGAGACGAGGGAGGGAGCAGGATGTTGCTGAGATCAGCAGGAGGATGTACGACGAGATTAGGAGCAGCAGGGACCCGAGGGACCATGTATGTGGAAGACGGCTAGTGCTAGTCCCCCATCGGGAGGACGACCCCGGCTAGTCGCCGACCACACCCACAAAGAACCCTGCACAAAGACCGCAGGGCGGGGACCTGTTTGTTTCCTTTTTACCCATCTCCTAGTAGAGGTGTGCGTATTATTTACCAAAGAGCCGGAACCCAGGCAAATTGTGAGTGCAATGATGCACGGCGTTAGTTCGGCCGGAGGACGCGAGCTTAGCAGCGGCGCAGGATCCCCGAGCTGCTCTGACGCGGCCGTGCTAGCGGCTGAGCGAGGCGAGGAGGAGGCGGTGCTGGAATGGCTCGACGGCGGCGGGCGGGCCGACGCAACGTGCGAGAGAGGCGGCGTGAGCGGCATCACGCTGCTGATGATCGCCGCCAGCAACGGCCACGAGCGGGTGGTCGAGTTGCTGCTGCGGCACGGCGCGGAGATCAACCTGCAGAGCAGCAAAGGCTTCACCGCGCTGATACTCGCCGCCTTCTTCAACCACCCCGCCGTCGTGCGGCGCTTGCTTCGGGCGGGCGCAGACACGGCGGCGCGTGCTGAGAACGGGAAGACAGCGCTGCAGCTGGCCAAGGAGAAGGGCCACGCCGAGTGCGTCGAGGCCTTCCGGCAGCACGTCAAGGAGTCGGTCGTGGCGGGACGGCCCACGGCGACGGCAGCCGGCGGCGAAGGTGCAGGTGGCGCTTCGTCCGGCGGCGCTTCCTCGGCTGGATCGAGACTGGCGAAGACGCTATCTCCAGCGGTGGCGGCGGAGCAGGCGTCGAGCGGTGTTGCGGCAGTCTCCGATGCGGTCGCGGCAGCGGCGGAGCGAGGCGAGGAGGAGGCGGTGCTGGCGTGGCTCGACAGTGGCGGGCGGGCCGACGCGACGTACGAGCAAGGCGGCGTGAGCGGCCTCACGCTGCTGATGACCGCCGCCCGCCACGGCCACGAGCGGGTGGTCGAGCTGCTGCTGCGGCACGGCGCGGAGATCAACCTGCAGAGCAGCAAAGGCTGGACCGCGCTGATACTCGCCGCCGACCACGGCGACGAGCGGGTGGTCGAGTTGCTGCTGCGGCACGGCGCTAGGGTCAACTTGCAGAGCAGCAAAGGCTTCTCCGCACTGATGCACGCCACCAGCAACGGCCACGAACGGGTGGTCGAGCTACTGTTGCCACCCGGCACGGAGGTCAACCTGCATAGCTGCACAGGCTGTACCGCTCTGATAGATTCCGTCCTCTT